CTCCTCAAACTCGGTCGTGAAACAAAATGGCGGTGTTTTGGAGCTATTTTCGAGATTTCGTCGTGGCACAGAAAATCGAGGATTTAACGGAATTCAAAACTTTTTTCGCAGAACTATTTCAAATAATAAGTAGATTCGTTCTAGCGAAAAAAAATTTTGGGGGTTAGGTGCACTTTAAGTACTGGGCGCTCAGGATTTCATGGTTAGGAAACTTTGGACTCCTCGTAATTTTTCTTAGACCACAGCCTTGCAATGAATTTGTGTATACATATTACCTTTGGTTATAAACTAAACTATATTATTAAAAAACATTACCCATACAATCCTTCAGTTGAGACATTTAGCTTCCCCTTCGGCTGTGTAATCAGAATCTCCTGAAAGGAACTCTTCAGAGGTTCCAACAAGTCTTCCACATATTTGCCATCCATAGTCATCTAATCAGTAAGCAATAAATTAATATACAATGTATGACAAGTACACATGCTAGAGACATCATAACTTCAAAATGTAAGAAAACAAAAAACAAAATTTTAACAACAAAATTGACAACAATTTTATCAAAGTATGATGTCATAGCTGATAATGCAACATCAGTAGTAATGGACGCTTATATGGCTAGTAACCAATCAGGAGCAGAGGAAGACAATAGGCTATTGTTTGGAAAACAATGGATTCTATTGTTCTCCAAATCCAAGATGGCGCCTTGAAAAATGGGACCAGTCCGGAAGCAAATTAAGAATTCAAGATGGCATGACAGTCGACAGCCCATGACAGTCGCCCATGTTGGAAAACAGCCCACTCAGCCTCGACGGAGGACTGGGATTGGTCTCACGGATTTCCATGGTGACACAAATCACGCCAGGGTCACGCCAAATATGTCATGCAGCTTCAAAATCGATACTTACAGTGTCCTGTGGTCTTAAGCAACAGAAGTCTGTCTGGCAAGCGGTCACGATGAAGACTGAGAGACTTTGGTCCGAGGTCTGACTATAGGGAGGCTATTCCAAAGCATCATGGGACGATGACATCATCGTGAACCAGTCAAAGGAAAGAAATCAGAATGAATTAAAGTACTTACAGCTGGGCTTCCCCAGTCCCCCTCTCGTAAGGAGAGTATTAAACCAAACATCACACAATGTCAAATGTCACGAACTTTTATGTCAAAACTTTTGCGCTAACATTAAAAGATATGACATCATTGCCATGTTGATTGAGTAAAAAGACTGATTTCTATCATCATCACACAATTTTTCAAATGAACTTTAATGTCCAAAACGTTTGTGCCGAAATTACAGAAAGCTGGTCATTGTGTCTCAAATAAGATAACACTATCAAAAAAATGGAACAGAAATAATTTTATCTAGCGTGAATGCAATCCTTGACGAGTAACAAATAATAAGCAAAGGCAAAAATATATAGGGTAAAAGGTG